TAGAGACAGCTCCCATGAATGCAAGACCAAGTAATCGGTTAGAAATAGATGGTTTCATTTATTTATGTAAGGAACATCGATCGCGTTATTTTTAGGTTAATGAATGCTGACTGGAAAAAAAAAAAAAAAAGAATCTATGCAAGTAAAGAAAACGGCATAGATACGCACCTGTTAATGTGTATGCGTTTGTCGTCAAAAATATGCCTGTGTCTCTCGTCAAAAATTGATGGTTTTAGTAAAGTTCTTTTTAGAATTTACAAGTACAATGCAATTTAAAAAAAAGTATTATCCATTTACCTGCGAGCTAAGAATAATTTGTGAGCTAAAAATAATTTAATACATGAAAATAAATTATCGCGATTTATGGCGAGTGAATTGCCTATCGTCATTGTCTTCGATATATATATATATATATATATATATATATATATATATATATATATATATATATATATATGATAAAATATAGTTTTAAAGTATGCTATATTTATGGGTAAAAGTGTCAATATATATATTTTTATTCATAAATATAGTACCTGAAAAAAGTTATGCTATATTTATGGGTAAAAATGGTCAATATATATATATATATATATATATATATATATATATATATATATACATATCTTGAGGCAATTGGATATCTAGCCACACTGATGAGCTGTGATACAGCGAAACAATCTGTACACGCATAAGTATATATATATATATATATATATATATAGATAGATAGAGAGAGAGAGAGAGAGAGAGAGAGAGAATTTTGGCTATAAATATAGCATACCTTAAAATTTTGATCATATCTATTTATAAATATTTAAAAAACATTCTTAAAAATATAGTATTATGGTCTGCTATATTTATGGGTAAAAGTGCAAATATATATATATATATATATATATATATATATATATATATATATATATATATATATATATAATAACTACCATTGAGTGAGTGCCGACGCTAATAAAATAGTGCTCGATGTATAATAACATAGGTAGCTTTTATATTAATAATAAATAGATATTTTTTCCTCACCGGTGACACAACTCTGAGTTTAATGCGCAATGCAATCATCGGGTGCTGCCTTCCAGCCCAGTGCAATAGCCCGGTGCTGATTTCCATGTAGACGAACAATTTCTTTTGCACTGGTTTTGAAAATATGGATGTGCGGTGTGGTATGAATAACAGCACGGAATAAAAAATCGGAGAGCTCAGTTCGAATTCCATTCTGAAATGAATCCATTTCTCCCCATCAGTTATGGGTTGAATAACAGGACAGTATGGTTCATATAGCCTTGGCTGGCAACCAGTCTACCACAGAAAAAGCGGCAGATTACTGCGGAAAAATTTTCTGTCAAGTCAGACATGAATCGAAAGAGACATGTCAATAAAGCATATATCACATATAGTATTGTAAATGGCAAAATAGTAATGGTTAGACATTAGTGGCAATAGTATTTCATCCAGCTAATGTCTTAATGTGGGAGGTATTTCTGCCGCATCTCTGTATAAATCGAGCTCGCAAGCAATATTTACACTGTTTAGCAAAACTTAAATAAACATATATACACATACATATATATACGTGTATATAGTGTTAATTTGGGAGACTGTTTTTGAAGAAAAAATTGATGATTTTTCAGTGGGGTGTACTGATAGAAAGGCAATCAGGCTTTGTGGTCGGGTGCTCAATATCGGAGATAGAGATAAAGCTTTAATAAAATTAATATGAAAAACGTTTTTCAATTAACTGCGCATTATTTCCTACAAGCTGACTTCGAAATTTCGTAGTCATTATTCTGCAGAATAGTCCAACTCTGCTGTGAAGAGTAGCCATATAACTATGCGACCACTAAATTTGGAAGTCAATTCATATATATATATATATAGATATATATATATATATATACAAGTATATAATTGGTGTATAAGGAATGAATTCCAATAACCAACAATTACTATTCTTAAAAGAGTGCTCAATACAAAGTAGAGCAGATATAATTTTTTTTTTTTTAATTTTTTAACATAAATATGTTATAAAATCACTACAAAAATAGCCATTCAAATGATGATGTTGACAATCAACACCATCACTTGATAAGACACCGAGGGTGTTGAAACAAAATGGCTATTTTTGTAGTGATTTTATAACATATTTATGTTATAAATTAAAAAAAAAAATATATATATATATATATATATATATATATATATATATATATGTGTGTGTGTGTGTGTGTGTGTGTGTGTGTGTGTGTGTATAAACAGAGAAAGAGAGAGATTGATTGACATATACATAAATGCTATAGACAATGGTGTGTAAGTCAATAAACGGTAGACATATATTTTTCATTTCTAATAAACTGCAACTATGTCCAAAATGTACTGGCCGTATTCAGAAGTTAATATATATATATATATACATTTAAAGACAATTTTATGTTTAATATATATATATATATATATATATATATATATATATATATATATATATATATATATATAACCACACTTTCAAAAAATGATAAAACAATCTACTTGTTAAAATGCTATTTTCTTTTTTCCTCCTCTCCGATGATGACTCAATCGTGTCGAAAGCTTGGGCCAACACGACAGGAATTTGTTCTAATCTGTCAACAGGCAACAGTTACATTTACGAAAGGATATTAGCATATCTGGAAAAAAATATCATTAAATATAATAGGCACAAAATTGTTTTGAACAGTACATAGCTGAACACACACACACACACACACACACACACACACACACACACACACACACACACACATATATATATATATATATATATATATATATATATATATATATATACATATGCTAAAGTTCTCAGAATAAATCTGCAGAGAAGACAAACTGAATAAAATAGACAATCGGAAAATAGTAATTAAGTAAAATATATATATATATATATATATATATATATATATATACTTTTTTAATATTTGTTTCGATGTTTTTATACATATATAATCTTCGAAATATGTAATATTCTACAAATCCTTCCTGAAAGGGGTAAGTGTATATATTTTTATAAAATGCAAATTTAGAAAAAACGGCAGTTAATTGCTGAAACGTTCTGAAGATTGGATTGAACATTTACAGAAAGTTCATCTGCGAATTTCTAGAGCCGAGGTGCTGAAGATAACATCAACCGGCTAAGTGAGAAAAAATGTATTTTTTATTAATCACACACACACGCATATATGTGTGTGCGCGCGCGTGTGTGCGTGTGTGTGTGTATGTGTGTGTTTTGTGTGTGTGTGTATAAGTTTTGTAGAAACAGTGTTAGAAGGTGGGATTATGCATTTTGTGTTATTCGAAGTGTTATCGGTGATGTCAAGTTTTTGAGATTTGTGGATTTTGTAAGTTCATATTCTAGCGTTGAAAATGAAATGATGTGGGTTGTGAATAAGTCTAAAGGTTTTCTTAACGTATTTCTCTTCTTCAGATATGTATTCTTGGCTTCATATCCTCAGGGTTCTGAGGTAGAATCCTATCACTAATCCTGATCTTTTTTTTTTTTTTGGATTATGGTCAGAAAAAATTAATTAGATCATTTTTGTTAGTGGGTTTAGGATAAACTCTAAAAAGAATAGATTTGTTTATTTGAAATTCATGTGTAAATTCAATTCAAGGTTCAACCATATTATGTCTAATAGATTTATATTACGAGGATATAATAAAACATTACTTATGAATGTCATATATATATATATATATATATATATATATATATATATATATATATATGTGTGTGTGTGTGATATATATATATATATATATATATATATATATATATATATACTGCTCACACACACACATATATATGCGTGTTTGTGTGCGTCCATGCGTGCATGTGTGTGTGTGTTTTTGTGTGTGTGTGTGTGTGTGTGTTTGTGTGTGTGTGTGTGTGCGGGCGCGCACGCGCATTTGTTGTCTAGAAAAAGCATCCTTATAGCCCAACGCGGTCGATAAGAAACATATGAGAGACCCTCTTGGGTTTCGAAGCACTTTCACATATAGCGAGGGAAAACAAATCCAGAAATGGGTTGAGCGGAGCGTTCTTAGACAGTAAAGGGAAAGGAAACAAAACGATTTATTAAAAAAAATAGCGAATTAACACAAATTAATAAAAATACCATAAAAAAAAAAGGAAAAAGGAAAGAATTGAGGAAAAGGAGAAAACCCGAGAAAGACAAAGAAGTTGTTAGAAAAGGACTTAAGTTAATCAAAAACATATTTGACACATAAAAAGAAGACCGGAGATAAAAAAAAAAACAAAAAAAAAACAAAAGAAAAGAAAACAAAAAACGAAATAAAAAAAAACAAACAACAAAAAAAAAAAAAAAACGGATGAAAGCTTTGCCGGATCAAAAGATACGATCAGGTCGAAAGATGTTCTTTCGCAACTTGCATTTCTGATAGACTGTTCAGTTGGGCTTTCCTTTCAGATATATCAGATCTGTGTAGCTGCAGAATTCAAAATAAGCAGCAAGCATCAAATCCATTACATCGATGTCTTGATAAAAATACCGATAGATGAAGTCGACCGAGTTCACAGGCATCTTTCCAGCTCAACACGAATCCAAATAAGTGGTTCAAAAGAATTCATAAAAGTCAATTGATCATCGTTGAGGCGTTTGTGTTGATCGCTGGCGTATACAAAGGCAAATTCCAAATTTAAATATTTTGAGTCTCAGACACAAAAGCAATTTTTCAAGTAAAAGTATGTCGGTAAATTCTTATAAATTTACAAACAGATATTGTTTTTATTTTTATTTTTTTAATTCGGCGTTTTAGAATATATATATATATATATATATATATATATATATATATATATATATATATATATATATATATTATATTTTGTATTATTTAGACTAATTGAATAAATACTTAACATAGTAAATACATTTTTTTGTTATTTTTATCAGTTTCTTTAATGCATATATGTGATTATGTTTATCATGCCTGATACAAATCTATCTATCTATCTATCTATCTATCTATCTATCTATCTATCTATCTATCTGAGGTTGTACATTATCTATTTGGATAGGTAGATGGATATCATTTTTTTATTATCTCTCCCCCCTCTCTCTCTTTATCTAAGGCTGTTCATTATCTATCGATTTTCATAGCTCGATAGCTCTATCTATCTATCTATATCTATCTATCTATCTATCTATCTATCTATCTATCTATCTGCTCGTTGTAGTAGAAACTTTGTAATCGCAGATACAACTATAGTAACGCTGTTGAACAATACTGGTGTCAGACGCCTTCGAATAACACTCGCACTAATAGTATATTAGTAAGTAACCACCAAATAGTGATCCGAATAGTAATACATATAGTGATCAGTATAAAGAAATAGTATAGAGAATAGCGATCCGAATAGTAATAGAGGATAGAGTAGAAATAGCGATCAATTAGACGCCATGGTAATTCCCATATATACATTTCTTTTGCCATCACGTGATCTACTTCTTCCAAATGGGATCGCCTGTGTTTGCTCGCTGGTGTTCTGTGTTCAAACTCCAGTGTTGGCAGCGACGTTATATTCCTATATAACACTATCAGTCTGTTCATATCTATCTATCTATCTATCTATCTATCTATCTATCTATCTATCAGTCTGTTCATATCTATCTATGTATATTTTCAGATAAATAAATAGATATTAGATTTGAAATCTTTATACTTATTTTTGGTTATCTTCTATTATGGAGTCGTGCTAAAAAGATTTTTATTTGGCTAAGAATAAATTCCAAAATAAATTCTGATGTTTGAGGTTTTTGGAGAGATTTTCAGAAGATGTCTCTCTGTAAACTTTTCAACATCCCCTCGCTGTAAATAACTTATAATTTAGGCTAACTTACTCTAGGAGGTATCGAAATTATGAGATCATTTGATAAAAAAAAAAAAAAAATTCAATACAAATTAGAAGCAGCTGCAAAACAGAACCCATATGTAATGTTTTATCAAAATTTGAAATAATAAATCTGTCTCTCTCTCACACACATGCACATAAAATGAGGCGTATCATTATATTCCGAGAATTCTTTAGAATTATATATAGTACAAATGACTATCTTTTTTAAGCAGCACACTTTTTAAGCCAGTCTGGAAAAATCACGCAAGACAGAAACTAAAAGCAGACGACGGAAACCAGACATTTTATTTCTTGCTCAAATTCAGTGGACCTTTTGGATAACACATCTTATATATTCATTTGTTTTCTTCCGGTTTGTTGAATATGGGATCTACAAAATTGTTTTCTTCCGGTTTGTTGAATATGGGATCGACAAAATTGTTTTCTTCCGGTTTGTTGAATATGGGATCGACAAAATCACTGTTGGCTTGAACAATGTTAACACGTTCACTGCCAGAGGACAACGACGAAATCTTACTTCAAACAACTTTATAATAGCCAACATAGACAAAAAAACAACATTTTATGGCTTGATTTATAGCGTCAACTGTTGTCTTAACATTTTTTTCACAGTAAAAGCTATCACTGTGAATAAACTCTTTGTTGGCACGAGATAACCCATAATAAAAAAAAATCATAATAAAAAAACTGCCAACCACGAAATAACTCGTGGTTGACAGTCAATGTGTTAAATAATTTAATTTCTTTTTTATGTCATCACCAACTCGTGGATTATCGAAGCCAATTAAAAAACGGTAACAGTAAATCACAGATACAAGAATATGCAGTTTTTTTTTATACTGTTTATAATGCGTCAGTGCTTATCACTCCCACAAATTTCTTCTTCTTCTTCTTCTTCTACCACTACTGCTACTGTTGATATGTAATCTCAATAATGCTAGTTTATTCATAGTTTTCCGGTCACAATTTCAATATTAATGAATTGCAAAATGCGCAGCGGACATGTATGAAATAGAGGATATCTCAGCAACATCTGCAAGAACATGCCTAGAGGTCGCCATTTTGTGTCGGTGTGTCCCGGTGTATCTCGTGTTCGTTGCCTCCTCGACTTTCTATGCAATGTCCATCTGTGTCTCGTTCCACCGACTATTTGGTCTTTTGCTCATTCTTACGGCCTGATTAAACGTTTGACAAAAGAGAGAAGCAAAACTAGTACTTTAATACTGTTATTATTATCATTATTATTATTATTATTATTATTATTATTATTAATAATAATAATAATAATAATAATAATTCATACAAAGAGGGTACCTGAAAGTTCTTGGGCTTCCCAACTTTCGAAAATTTAACCAAATGATTATATTTTGGGGAAGGGCTTCTTAGTCGGAGTGAGAACAGCTTGTATTTGTATGTATAGCTGGCCAGTCGTATTCGAGGATACCCGTCTACTAAGGCGGCTAGTCAATCCCTGTTGCAGACGCTTGCTCAGGTGCATTTGTGTTTATTCAACACTCACAGAGGCCAACCTTTGGTTTACAGTCACAGTTTCTGGGAAAAGAGTGTGTTATCTAGCGTGATCATCAATTCGAACAACTCCAGCACGCTCAAGCCCCCGGGTTCCGTCTACCCAGTTTCACTGACAAGGCTTGGGTCAACCCTTGGTATGGTTTTCAGGCATTTTCCAAAGGTGCCGCACACTGAGATCGGCCCCCTCTATCCGATAACATCTGTACATTCCTGACAAATCGACCATGATGAGATTCGAACCCGTGTCTCATGGCCAGAATGTGAACATTCTAACCACTCGGCCACGTGCCCAGCACAGCTTGTAGTAGTAGTAGTAGTAGTAGTAGTAATAATAATAATAATAATAAACTAGGCGTTGCTCTCATGCCTTTTGATCTTAATCGATTGGAAGGTATTAACATGTACATCTTCTGTCTTGGTGAATTTAGATGTGATACAATGAATATCTTGTTCAGTACCTGAGATCCGTCTGTCAGTTGCCTGGCATTAACCAGTTTTTTATGTCCCTTAGGGCCTGACCCACTGTGCATCTCTGTTCATGAATGAGTTTAGTCGGAAAGCATCAAGACCGGGTGACGAGAGAGTTGTTTCTGTTTAAGTTTAAAGGGTGAGGCAGCCAAAGTAACTTGGGAGACATCTAGATACTTGAAAACCATCTGAGTGGTCCGGACTACCCGACCTTTTATCAAAACCTGCTATGGTACCGTAACACATTTGAATGTAGTGCGCATGCCTGGTATTCCTTTACCAGCCTGATGGGTATACTGAACATTGTATGGTTGTACACCAGCGTCATTTTGTTGCAGTGCTGATCTCTCAATCAATAATTATAATAATGTGTGGATCTTGTTTTTGAAAATATCGATCCTATCGATAATCATTAGAGCACCGGGACCAGTTCAGAAACCCTTGTAAGAAAAAAAAATGGAAGAAAATGAGACAATGCCAATTAATGTCCTATTGAACTCGAAGAGAGAATCTTTGGAGATTGAGCATTGAATCTTCTGAGATGAAAAACAGAAAACAACAATTTGACAGTATGGAGACAAAGATGAAAAAAAAAAAAACCATATTATCAACGAATGTAGTAACTTGAAAGAATAGAAGATTCGGCTTGACTGGGTAGGAAGGTTGGTCTATTGAAAACTGTGCAAGCATCTGCATTTTGACTACACAGACCAATAGCATATACACAGACCAGATTCTGTCTGTTCGAAATAATCAAAGGGAAAAATTTTCTTGGATTTCGAGATTCAAATGACTCGGTTGAAGCCAAAAAATCGGAGCTGATAATTGTAAAGGCAAAAATGTACATGTCAGATTGTGGAATTTGCTGTTCCGGAAGACCGTAGAGTAAGTCATAACAGCCGATATTAGGCTGCTAGGAAAGATTCGGAAAAAATGTCTGGAGGAACTGGAAAGCGTCGGGACTATTCAAATGAAAACATTAGTGAAATCAACTAAAATATTAAGAAGTATGCTGCAGTATTGTGTAGACTTACTTTCACTTTCACTTTACCTTCACTAAATCTTTAGTATAAACCACCAGTTACAGTTGGCGTGAACACTTAATGAGTGAATAATAAAGTACAAATAATTTATGAGTTATAAGAATCATAGACTTGAAATCGTCCCAGAGAACGATAATGGTAGAATTGTATGGGACTCTGAAACGAATCATTCAATCTAGATCGTTGCTGATATTCATAAGGAGAAAAAAATGAATGTGTCAGATTGTGGAATTTGCCGTTCCGGAAGACCGTAGTGTAAATCTAAAATGAAGTCCAAATGGATGTCTTGCATGACGCCCCACTCATTTAGAGATGTCTAAACTGTCATCGGTATTTGATTAGAATGACTTCACGCTGTCTTAAATCTTAAAGAAGACGATCCTTACGGACTATATAAACTGGCATTATAAAATTACAATGAAGATCATAACCAAATAAAGAAAACCACATTACCTGAACATTTTCAACAACAACAATAATAATTAGAAGAGAAAATAATGATGTACTCAAACTCGACATTACCGAAGACAAAAGGGCTGGAAGGAAACTCCGGTCAATACTAGAAAGTGCAACAACAGGACATTTAGGAACTTTAATTTCCTGGAAAACTAATAAAAAAGATTTTATTAATTTCTTTCAACCGTAACACAAACTGTTCGGTTAATGAATGTCGAGTGTTTCCTGTATGGAAACTGCTAATTCTACTATTAATATTACCATTTTTACCTTGTTATAGAAGTGAAGAAGTTCTTGAAGGTGAAAGTGACGGTCATACCGGGGGTTATTGAACCGCTCAGAACAATCCAGACGAGCTTAATAAAAATGACTGGGAGAACTAGAAATGAAGATAAGCGTCGGGACTATTCAAATGAAAACATCACTGAAAACAACTAAATTATTAAGAAGTGTGCTGCAATATTGAGGAGACATACTATCACTTTCACTTTCACTTTCTTTAGTATCAACCACCACTTAGAGTTGGTGGGAGCACTCAACGAATAAACAATAAAGTGCAAATAAATTAGATTTATAATCGCAGAACAATAGTATAAGGATAAACATGAAATCGTTCGAGAGAACAAAAACGGCAAAATTATATGGGACTTTGAAACGAATCACTCAATCCATACCAAAAAGACTAGTTATTGCAAGCAAGGATATGAGCTAGCAAGTTATCAAAAGATTAGACCCCTAAGGACGGGGCAGCTCTTTTAATTGTTGATTTTTCTCAGATTCCTCTCGTAACCATTAACAGTGACAGAATTCAAAAGCGTCTACGTGGCCTTGCTTGTGATGAATTATTTTCCATCCTACAAACCCTTTCCCACAGGCGAAAATCGCAAGCCTCTCGCTGCTCTATCGATATTTCCATGGAAAGTGTTCTGACTAGCTACGTTCCTTAGTTCCACCAGTTAAGGTATTTACAGCTAAGTCCTGTAATACCACCTCCAAAGAGTCGAATCAGCCTCATTCTCTTCGTGTACCATTGGTGAGAAGGAAGTTCCACTCAGCTTCTTCGCTATTTTGGGAAACAGATTCCCAAGAGGACGCTTCCTCAATCATAAGAATCTTCATCACTTCATATCTAGATTCAATCGTTATCTAAATACAACAATCTAATTCAAAGCGGGTTTTGGAGTCTGTATTTCGAAAATAACAGTGTTGAAATTTATTAGTGAATTAAATTTTTATTTTATTTTAGAATGTACTAACGCCTCGCCTTATCATAAAATGTAATAACCCTTAATGAAAAACATACATTAATACAATATTTACAGAATTTTAAAAAAATTTTTTAAATATTTCTAACATGACTCTTCATTAACAATTTTTTAATTTACAGGGCTTCATATCCATATTCTAGTTAAATCTAAGATTATAGTGTTGTAATGGAATGTCCCACACTCCCTATCGCCTATGTGAACTGACTATATCAGTAGCTATATATAGTAAGGGCAAGATGTACCTGAGAGCTTGCTTCAGAAATTAGTTGGAGATTCGTCTCCAGCTGTGCTTGTCGAACTCTCTGCCTTCGGGCGGAGAGGAACCAAGACGAGGCTCTGCCGAAGGGTAGAGTCTCGTCTGGGGTAGTAGACAGCTACACGATTCCGTTTTTAACGGCGTCTACGGGGAAATTTTGCCCGAGCCTACGAGTTCGGATACCCCGCGTTAAATTCGGCCTTGTGCCACATATGACCGCGTGGGACAGTTGACAAATCTCCTTGCTTCGATAATTATTTGGAGATTCGTTTCCAACTTTCGACAGAGAAGCACCCAGACGAGTCTCTGCCGAAGGGCAGAGTCTCGTCTGGGGTGGTAGACAGCTACCCAACCCCGTTATTTTTAGATATCCTTGCTTCGGGAATTACTAGCCTGCCACCCGATTCCCTGTCTTTCAGTAGTGTATTCTCTTTTACAATAAACCTCTCTTTCTTTTATCAATGCACATGTTACTGTTCCTTCATTCAAGTACCACCTTTATTTGTAACTTCTTTAAGGATACAATAATAATTGATGAATATAAAGTATAGATATCAGTAGCTATATATAGTGAGCACTGGATATACCTGGGGGCTTGCTTTGGGAATTACTAGCCTGCCACCCGATTCCCTGTCTTTCAGTAATGCATTTTCTTTTACAATAAACCTCTCTTCTTTCATCTACGCGCGTGTGGCTGTTCCTTCACTCGAGTACCACCTTTGTCTGTTTGTAACCTCTTTAAGGATACAACATTTAGATATGTCGAATATTGCTTTGAAAAAAATTCAAATACTAAAATAAATACTCTTTTAAAAAATTAACTATTACTAAAAAAATGATATAACATAAATGAATAAAATAAATCAGTATTCAATTGATTAGATTTAACTATCGCTGATATTAACATATTTTACAGGACATCAAAAAGCAGCTAACTTCACTTCATTTTTTTTCTTCTTTTCTTGCTCACTTAACTTGAACCAGTCAGTTCTTACATGTTGTCTGTGCTTGTGCATAAAACTGTCGTAGGAGTAGTATACAGAAGCAGGGGGCTTCTCTGCTTATATTACACTATTATCACTTGCTTACAATTTATCCTAAAAAATAGAGAAATGTGAGATTTATTAAAAATTCACGAGTGAAAGTATATAGAAAAATGATCAATAATTCTTTTATATTACACGAAAATGATTTATTCTGTAAAAAATATATGCATTGCATACATAGACACTTCGCCACTGGAAATAATATCACGACACTAAATTCATTAAGGCATTATAGATTTTAATGACACTGAATTCATTAAGGCATTATAATATATTCTAATGGCATTTTAATGGTATTATATATTTTAATGCTGTTTTAATGACATCATATATTTTAATTATATTTTTAATGGTATTATATATTTTTAATGGCGTAGCAACGAAAGCCATTCCACTAACTTTCTCAAGAAGTCGAAACAATTCATGGATAATAAAGAAATGGAATCTGGAGACCTCAAACATGGCCATTAAAAACAATATTTTAAAGAAAACAATCTTTTAGCTCGTGTGCTTTACTCATTAAACAGCTATAAGTAAACTTGGGGCTTCATGTCTACTAAAAATGGAGTGTCAAAAGGGAGGTTTTATCCTTGACACCGCTATTATTTTAACTACCTTCACTCCTCGCTAATGTTTATTGTTTTTAAAAAAACGATGATTAGAATTATGAAAAAACCTAAACATATGAAAGAGAATTTATACAATATCTTTGTTCTTAAGAATTGACAAGAAAAATAATAAACACTATATATTATATTGTTTATCGAAATGAAATTGAAGAAACATCGGCAAATTGCCATTTGATTTGAACTTTATGAAACAGTAACTACTAAAGATTTCCTCATGATTGATTTAAAATGTGAATACATTTATGAATAAAAATTGTTTTCCTATTTAATTTTTTATAAATTGATAAATGATAAATATTTTATTGCATGACTATTCTATTAGTTTTTAAATTGTTGTAAATAAAATCTTTATTCTTGTAAATAAGCAATCTAATAAATAAATAGTGTTTAATATTTTTGTTGTAAATTCTGAAAAACAAAAAGTGTATAAACCCACTGTCCTCATATGTTTAGGTTTTATTACAATTCTAATCATTGTTTTTTAAAACAATAAACATTGACGATGACTGAAGGGAGTTAAAATAATAGCGGTGTCAAGGGAAAAACGTTCTTTTGATAGTTCGTTTTTTGTTTTTTTTTGTTTTTGTTTTTTTTTGCGAGCACAGATTGTCCAAGTTTGCCCAACAATATATATATGCCAACGCTCAGTCATTTAGATTCTTTGAGAACTCTCTGAAGACAATTTTGGGGGTTTGTCTTATTGTGAATTCCACTAAACTGTTTCCTTTGTGCATTTTAAATGTTATTTTACAGTTTCAATCCAGGCTTTACCAATAGTCTTCACGTAAATATTTAAAAGTAATTTTTAATCTAAGCTTATATATTTTAACTTATACCATTTTCGCAGACTTTTTGTAGTACAATAGCATTATTTTAGTTTTTTCGCGTTTTAAAATTACAACCTTTAGCTTAGTGCTTAATTTTATATACTTGCAAACAGATATTACATTTAAATAATATTATCCTAGGTGGGTGCTTTCCGACCATGATGCTTGGGTTCAAACGTTGATTGGTCAGGAAGGTGACTTCTTAATGGGGAGTTGACCCTAGCGTGTGGCACCTTAGTAAAGTGCGTGAAAATCATACCACGCCTTGTAAACCCAAACCCAAGCCTTGTAAGTGAAATTGGGTAGACGGTAATGTTCGTCGATGTTTTTGCTAGCACGAAGTCACAAGTCATCGTGACCGAAGGTGTGAGCGTACTGGGCTTGTTCAAACTTTTGAACCCGCCAGACAATGCGCGCTCACTGCTGGAAACTATAACTAAGTTGTTCTGCTCAGCATAGTTACAGTATAAACCACAGTTGGGCTGTGTGGTTGTTGAACAAGCACAAATACTCACGGGCAGTCGTCTAAAACAGATAGGTATATTCGAATACTAACGGACATTATTATAATTATTATTATTATTATTATTATTATTATTATTATTATTATTATTATTTGTGTAGAATTAGCAAAAGAAAAAAATCAAAATAAGACTATATACTTTGTCCAGTTAATAAATCGCATATCTTACATTTCCTGAATCAATGTTTCTTTCCAGACGTTTTACGATAAGTCTGCTGACTAGATCTTCAAAGCAATATTCTACTCCAAACTGACCATTGATAAAAATAGTATCAAAAGAATCGGTTATCAAAGAAGATTTCTTGACAATACACTGTAACAGAAAAACTGACGTGTGACTCGTACTGCCTGTAATAAAACCGCCTTTCTCCAAAAAATCAATCGAAGAATAAAAACACAACTAAAACAGTTAAATTCATATTTATTTCTAATTTTTTGAATAGTCGTCATTAAACGTGAAACCTTAAAATGTTTTTGTTGGTTATAGTTTTTCTTATTGATTTTTTTTTTCAGTTGTATTTACAAGACTAAGCGAAGACTTTTGATTACTTGTCATGTTGAAAAGAATTGGTCTGAGATTTTCCCGTTATTATTTACTCAACTTAGTTTAGTTTGGCACAAGGCCACAGGAATGGAGTACTGAAAGATATCCACTTTAATTCAGGAATAATTTGTCGTTTGTCTGTTTTAGTTGTTGATTCGTTTCCGGTCTTTCTCCTAATGGAATCTGCTTTTTTCTTTACCTTTTTTACAACCCTTTCTATTTTTCTTTTATTTTACGATTCTTTCTTTCTTTTTTTATATCACTGTCGTCATAGCTTTCATTCTTTCTTTCCTTTTTATATCACTGTCGTCATAGCTGCCTTTCTTTCTTTTTTATATCACTGTCATCATAGCTTTTTATCTTTCTTTTTTATATCACTGACATCATAGCTTTCATACTTTCCTTTTTATATCACTGTCGTCATAGCTTTCATTCTTTCTTTCCTTCTTATATCACTGTCATCATAGCTTTCATTCTTTCTTTCTTTTTTATACCACTGTCATCATAGCTTTCATACTTTCCTTTTTATATCACTGTCGTCATAGCTTTCATTCTTTCTTTCTTTTTTTTATATCACTGTCATCATAGCTTTCATTCTTTCTTTCTTTTTTATATCACTGTCGTCATGGCGTCTTTCTTTCTTCCTTTCTTTCTTTCTTTCTTCTTTTTTATTTCCTTTCCCTTGTTTAATTTCATATTTTTATCTTTATTTTTATCTTTTCTCGTTTGTCCTTTTGAAAGTTTTTTCTTCCTTTCCATTTTTCTTTTTTTTTTCTTTATTTCTATTTTATGCAACTTCTTTTTTTATTTCATATATACATATTTCCATATATTCTTCCTTTCTTTCTCATATCACTGCCATGGCTTTCTTTCTTTCTTTCTTTCTTTCTTTCTTTCTTTCTTTCTTTCACTATTCTTTTAATCCTATTTCAATCAACCTTATCTCTTTTTTTCTTTCTCTTCTTATTCAACCTTTCACTTAAAGGCAGGTGTCATATGATGAATCATTCCTCAGGCCGGAAAACATTGGTGTTGCGCCGGAATTGTGGGTTGACGGTCCTTCCAGCTCCTGGAGCACCTGCATTTGTCGTGGCATCAAATCCGCCAGGAAGAAGCACGGACAGTCCTGGTGGAATTGTTGCCCACCACTCCTGCAGTGCTGGCCGCTAGTCACCAGTATCTTCTTTCTGGACATCGGTTGAAAATGTTTGTTTTTTTTCTAAACTCCAAATTTTATTCTCCTTCTCGTCATAGGTTGCTGCTTGTTCTCCCTTTTTTTTTTTTTTTTTTTACAAAAATTCTTTGGCTCTATTTCTTTTTAAAATTGTTATCGTCAAAGTTTTTTTTTGACCGACGTTAGTTTCAGCCCCAAAGGCGTCTTCGTCACCCAGGTACATCAAAGGAGAAAGAAAATAAACAAATACATGAACGAAAACAAACGAGATTAACTGATTTGAAAGAAAAGAATCACTGCCTCTTGATTGGTTGAAAATGTTTCGCCTTATGATTGGTTAAATTTTTTATCCACTGCGCGCATTTTCTTCTACTTGACGGCTGTTTAAAAATTACTTGTCATGATCTAATAATGAACAAGGCTTTTTTTTTTCATGGAATATAGTTACTATTCATATTAATGAATTATCGAAATGTTTATCATTGCAATATTTTTACGTGAAAATTATTTTAATGAAAACGAATTACGGCATCATATTTTACTTTTATAATCATTCGCCTCTAGAAAGACGATTGGATTGTTTCATGTTTATCCTTTCTGGTGAGTGGTATTCAATGTCAACTTTGGAGATCTGGCTTAAATATGAGAGTAATGTGGAGTAATGGATAGCGGCTCGGATTGAGGAATCGAAGAACCGAGTTCGAATTCCATTCGAATCCATTACATTCACTTACGTGCTAATACCATTGGGGAAAGGTATGAATCCTCTTTTTTGCCTCGTCAGTCATGTATCGAAAGATACATGATCGCTTACGCATCTATCACGCATGGCACATAACTATTTTGTGCTTCTATCGCACTAAGTAAAAAAATAAAAGAAAAATTACGCCGCTTGCTTTATTTTGATCTAAACACCATTTGTATTTGACAAGCATACAAATTCACATCCTCTTAAGGTTATGACTTCAGCTATCAAAAGGGTTGTCGTTAGTGTAATGATTGTCATCACGTAAAATGAATTAATCCTACCTAGTTCGATTCCTCCGCAAGCCCGATTCTGTTTCGTTCAATACTTGCTAATACCCGCGAAAAAATCAGGAATTCATCTTCCTCCAGCTATGGGTGAAAGATCAGGACCGAATGGGTTCTCTTGACAAGGGGTAGCAAGCAGTCTAAGTGAAAGAAACCCTGAATTTAAAATGTAAATAATAACGACTGACCAGATTGTTTAGCATTGGTTAGGCAACCAGTTTAGGAGAAAGAAAGCTTTCAAGCTCCTACAAATTATGGGACTAACTGGTCACTTTAGTATTGGTAAAGCAACCCGTCTAGGAGAAGGAAAACTCTGAATCCAAACTTCTGCAAACAACGGGACTGACTTGACTATTTAGCATTGTTAAAGCAAACATTCTAAAAGAAGGAAAACTCTGAATTGAAAATCAGCATAAAAAGAGGAGTTCGTTAGGCCATCTAGCCCAAAACATTCCAGTGCTACCATAGCTGCAGTAAATGGGGTACTCTTCCGACTATAATGGGTTACTGTATACGTTGAGTGATGCACAGTACGTGTCTTTCACTTTAGACTTTGTAGAAAACAACACCAAACGATTAGATAGATTAGATTAAAGGTCGCGAGATGTAAACGCTACGAGGTATTATAGCAGAAAAATTCCAGACAAATAACATCAGAATACGTTTCCTTCAATTAATCTGTACAGAAGATTATAAATTTTCTTTTTTATTTAAAAAAAATGAGAATCACTAATTTGTATGATGAACGCAACTTCTATTATATTCCTAGAATTTATTTATTAATTTGTTTTTTACGGGTTATCAACATTTAGCGGGTTATTAAAAGATAGAAAATATTTTTAGATTGCAAGAATAGACAACAATGATTTACTGATACAAGTTCTACTAATTAACCCATAGCTGGGGAGAGAAGAGGTGGATTCATGGCTTTCCAAAGGGTATTTGCACGTAAGTAAATATAACAAACCTGATTGGAATTTAGCTTTCCGATTTTCAATTCCGACTCGTTATCCATTACACCACCCGCACATTCAATCTTGCAGCACCTGGTATTCCCAAGCGGTCACCCATCTAAGTACTGACTAGGCTCGACATTGCTTAACTTTAATGATTGTAGGAGAACCGGTGTTTCAACGTGATGTGGCCGTAAGCCATTTTACTTCTAAGATCTAAGACTGATGTTTCAACAGTGAATGCTGGGCCATCTTAAAAATGAAGAAGAGACTTGAAGCAACAGAAATGTGGTTCTACAGAAGGATGCTGAGAATACCATAGGCCGAACAAGAGGACGTTTTAGAGAAAATGGAAAGAAAAATGATACTTATACTTCACATCAGGAAGAGAAAGTTGAAATTTCTAGGTTATGTACTCACCGGCCATATTGAAGGCAAGAAAGACAGAGGAAAACAAGACAAAGTCTACCTTGTCTGCTTGAGTAAATGCATGGCGGGAGAAAGTTTAGGAGAGATAACAAAAATACAAAATTTATTAAGATCTGCGAAGGAGAGGAAATTATGGAGAGCCATGATCGTTAACGTCCTGAATGGACACGGCAGATAGAAGTAACGTTGCAGAAATGTAATAACGTCATTTCGTAAGCTGAGTATCAGTGTGCAGGTCATAGTAAAAAAAAAAAGTTTTAAAACTTTTTTTTTACCGTGAACTGCACACTGATAGTCATTTCTGCAACGTTATTTCTTCTTCTATCTGCCGTGTCCATTCAGGACGTTAACGATCAGGGCTCTCCACAATTTCTCCTCCTTTTTAGATCTTAATAAAGTGTGTATTTTTGTTATCTTCCCTAAACTTTTATCCCGCCATCCATTTACTCATTAGAACACATCAAAAGGTTCTCACTCTTTGGAGAAATCCATCCTCACTCGAGTAGACATGGCTTTAGTGGGTCTGGCCGTACTCAAATGCGGCTTGGTGAGGTTATTTAAGCCATAGTTAGAGGTTTTGAATCCAGTGTTGTCCTTCTCCTAGACTAGTTGCCACCGAAGTCTATAAAACCCAATCTTTCCTGCTATTTAACCCATAGCCGGTGGGAAGGAAGAAGTGGGAAGGGTATTTGAACGTAGGTGAATATAACAAACTGGTCTGGAATTCAAAGACAGCTCTTTGATTCCGAGTCGCTATTTCACCGTAACTCCAGGCTATGCGATCACAGATTCATCTTGAAGATCATGGTTGGGGAATTGGATTCACGTTGGTTACCGTAATATTGTGTCTTTTTATGAGACAAAATTCTGTAATAACAATTCAGTAAGAAACTTGGTGTAAAATGTGATTTTAAAAGTAAGATGCTGACAAAGATACACAGATGTGTAAATAAGAAATACGAGTGCGTTTACGTTTAATTTTCGAAGCTTCGAATTTGTTAGGAAAAAAAATCAAGTTTGCGAATCACTTTCGAATGAATAGAAAGGAAATAAAAAAAAATAATGAAAGGATGCGCGGTTAGCGTAGTTGTTATCGGCGTAGAAAGATCCGATCATTTCAGTGGCGTTCATTTTTTAGCTAATGTCGAGTTAACTAGTAGGGTAAACTGGGTTTACTAGCCTTGCGTAGAACCTAGTTTAGTAGAAGGAATACTTTTCAGAGTAGCCAGTCTCCTAGGCTGACTTCCAGCCAATGAAGAGCAAGAAAGTCTATAGAGGAGAAAGAAGAAAGACGATAGAGGGAGGAACAAGAAAGATAACAGAGGAATAACAAGAGAGACAACAGAGGAGGAAGAAAAAAACGACAAAAGAGGAAGAAGAAGAAAGTCAGTACAGGAGAAACAAAAAAAAAAATAGAGGAGAAACAAGGCAAAAGGTGAGGGACAAGAAAGACAAAAGGGGAGGAACAAGAAAGACAAAAGGGGAGGAACAAGAAAGACAAAAGGGGAGGAACAAGAAAAACAACGGGGGATGAACAGTAGAGGATAAAAAAAGAAAGCCAGCAGAAGAAAATAATTCGATATTCCAAACGTTGTAATCTCCTGATCTCAAACCTTATGAATTATGAGGAAGAATATTTTGACACACCGACCTTCTTAGAAAACAAGTATTCGAAAATCTGGCTTTGTTTCTGGGCTTGAACATTGATCTCTAGATTTTAATGAGAACTACGGTATCCAAAATCGTGGAGAAAGCAATAGTAAATCATTCCACAATATTTTCCAGGAAGTCAGAGCAATTCACAGATAATAAAGAAAAGGAAGCTGTGGAGAATCATAACCTCGTACTTCCTGAAGGGAAATGGCATTTAATTTTTTTTTAAATCCCTGGAAAGGTCAACCATGGAAAGATTACTGTACGGCACGTAATATATCCACCATGTTTTATAATGAATTCTGTATATAACCAAAATACAAATCTAGATAATGTTTTTACTTTCAAGTAAGAACGATATACACGATGTGTCGTAATAAAATTTTAGGGGGAAAGACCTTTCCGAATCTATTTTGCAGCATATAGATAAAACAGGAGGGATAAGAAAATATTGATTGTAAGAGAGACGAGGATGTTTGTCTCAAAATTCGTAGAAATCTCTTGCACATTATATACACAGGTAGAAAATAATTCAGCGATATAGAATTTGAAAAAAAAATATTAACAAGAACTCACAGTTAACCAAACTACTTAAGAATTGAAGTCAACAAAAACATAAAATATATGAATAAAAATTGAATCTCATTGAATCAAGCAGTTTTTATTTATTTGAGGAACGAGTGTTTTTTTTTTTTTTGTTGTTGTTTCTAGGTCAAAACGTTTGGCTCCTTGTATGAGAGACAAAGTAAAAAAAAAAAAATGTCGGAGAAAAACCTTTCAGGCGAAGATACCGAACCGTAGTCGAAATTTAAGAAGATGGAACAGGAAAGGACACAGGGTTTGCAAAGCGATCTATTCGAGTTATTGCAGAGAAATAAAAGGGTTACAAAGAAAAGAAAAAAGAACAAGGAAAAACGAATGAAATATGCCTGCTATAAGGACTCACGTAAAAAAGATGGCGCCAAAAAGTGCAGAAGGATAATACATATTGAGCGGAAGATAATGGGATAAAAATTAAAATAAATCAATAAAAAAAATGGAAAATGAAAACAAACAAAAAAACAACCAAAAACGAGAAAGCAAAAAACAGATAAATGAGCGGGCAAAGAAAAAAAAGAATCGATCGATCTTACGTTTAAAGTCACTTGATCCCAGCATTTCGCAATCTCTCTCTCTCTCTATCTATCTCTCTCTCTCTCTCTCTCTATCTATCTATCTATCTATCTATCTATCTATATATATATATATATATATATATATATATATATTTCAATTAAAAGGTGCAAATATAATTTATAAATTCATGAATCATTCATACAAAAAACAAATGTAGAGGTTAATGATTTAAATGGCGAGAATACCTGTCCTCTTATTACTGAGAAGTACAAACAAGAACAAAATCTAATTCCATACCTGATGATGTCTGTAGGAACAGACGAAAGCTTGTAAAAAATTAAAAAGACCTTATGCAACTGGAATTTATGAACAGGGATCATATCATTCATATACAGGTTCGGGGTTGATGTATCTTATTTATATTGTATGCGAAGATGTATTCTCGCCATTTAAATCATTAACCTCTATATTTGTTTTTTTGTATGAATGATTCATGAATATATATATATATATATATATATATATATATATATATATATATATATATATATATATGTGTGTGTGTGTGTGTGTGTATAGTCCATTTCATACATACATACATATATATATATATATATATATATATATATATATATATATATATATTATGAAATGGAATATGTGTGTGTGTGTATAGTCCATTTCATAATATATATATATATATATATATATTATGAAATGGACTATACACACACACACACACATATATATATATATATATATATATTCGTGAATCATTCATACAAAAAACAAATATAGAGGTTAATGATTTAAATATATATATATATATGTGTGTGTGTGTGTGTATAGTCCATTTCATAATATATATATATATATATATATATATATATATATATATATATATATATATTGTGTTGAAAATATATTTTTAATCCGGAGTTACCACCCTAAAACCTTATTTTAGTGGGTACACATATTTTAGTTACTATCCGTGCTTTTTTAATTTTTTAAACAGTAAAATTAATAAAATACGGCTTAGATTGAATAGACTCACTAATGAAAAGTTGTGCGAACCCAACAAGAATGTTTCTTTAGGGGGCATCTAAGTCTAGGCAGTTCTTATTAATTTCACTGTTAAAGAAAAATGAAAGACCGGGATAGCAACTCAAACATGTGTGCAAACAAAAAATAACATTTATAGTATTATATATATATATATATATATATATATATATATATATTATATATATATATATATATATATATATATATATATATATATATATATATATATATATATATATATAAATATAATTGTGTATTTGGTCAACAATGCCTCTTTTATGCAAGTTTCATTAAAACGACTGGCAAGGAACTGCGGTTAAGTTTATTATTTAATTTCTCTTGTGTTCTTGTAATTTTCTTCTTTTCTGGACTTAAATTATGAAGAATTTCTCCGAATGTTCTGTATGCCTGAGCGATTTCGGTTATACTTTAGTCATTATCAAAGACTTGCAGAACTTTTGGACAATTCATAATTTATTTCCAGAAAAGAATTATATGAACACAAAAAAATTAAATAAAAAAACTTAGCAGCATTACTTTGTCAGTCGTTTTTAATGAAACTTGTATACATACATACATATATATATATATATATATATATATATATATATATATATATATATATATACCCCTGGGAAATGTATGAATCCTCTTCTCCCGCCAGCTATGGGTAAATAGCAGGACAGACTAGGTTCTATAGCCTTAGATGGCAACTGGTCTAGGAGAAGGACAACTCTGAATTCAAAACCTGCGGAGGGTCGTTTGGGGACCTTGTGGCACTTAGTGCACCAGGTCTCTGTATTCGGCCCTTCAAAAAGTGTGGATGGTCCTGCACGAAACCTTCAGCACTATAATCAAATCTCAAGTGCTGTTGTCGGGCTGTCGGTTTCCTGGGAACTGATCTGCTTGGCCCTCATACGTCGAATTCGTCAGGAGAGTCGACTATATATATATATATATATATATATATATATATATATATATATATATATATATATATATGTGTGTGTGTGTGTGTGTGTGTGTGTATGGATGTGTGTCGTCAACCACGTATTGTTCAAAATGATCTTTTTTTTACGGTTATACAAATATGTTTTTGTAAATGTCATTTTTGGGTATTGACAGATTGGCCCCAATTCCTGTTGGCCTAAACTTTCGACTTGCATGAGTCATCATCGTGGAGGGTAGAAAAGAAAATAATATTTTAACAAGTATATCATGGATATCCTGAACCGAGCGTGAGAGCAACGATGAGGTTTTGAAGAGGATGCAAGCAAGTCGGAAGCTTATACTTAACACCAGAAAGAGGCAGCTGAAGTTTCTGGAACATGTAACGAGAAAGGAGGACTTGGAGAATCTGATACTCACAGGTCGAATAGAGGGAAAGAGAGGCAAAGGAAGGTAACGCATAACATACCTTGGGTGGATGACATCGCCTGAGAGAAGTAGCAGGGGTACAAAACTTATTGAGTGCTACAAGGGATGGGGGGGAGGTCTAGAGCTATGGTCGCCTACGTCTTGAAAGGACACTGCATATAAAAGAACAAAGACGATTTTATTTTTATTTATTTATTTTTGAAAGAGTGGTTATAATTTGAAAACTTTCTAATTTTCCCATTCGATGATTGTTTCGTGTGATTCGAAACGTCGGAAAAACGCAACGTGAATTTTTTCCAATCTATCCACAAACAACAAACACATTTGCGAAAGAATATTCGTACACGAGGAAGAAAAATGATCCCCCAATATAATAGACATAAAAAGTGTCTATTGTTTGAAAGAACAATTCTTACCATATACCGAATATCTTCAATATTTTCTTCAATAAGATTTCTCGAATATTCAGGCCGGTAGACGAAAACAAATATACTGTTTAATAAATAAATGGAGCGTCTACACAAATATGAGTATCCACTAAAGCATAATGTTGAAAGTGATAAAATCTGTAGGATTAATAAATTAAACAAATCCATTACTTCTTTGTGAATTGCTTTGTTTACGTTCGAATACGAAACTGCGTAGATATGAACGTTCGAGAATCTAGGAATTATTTGCATTTACAAGGCATTATTTGGCTTCGTTTGCTCGGCGGGACCACACGTGATGGAAACGGTCTTGGGTTTTTAACGACGTTTTCCCCTACAAAGAGGGACGTGGGTTCGAATCTACCAGAGGGCGCGTATATATGGCATTTTTTAAAAATTTATTTCTGTGGTTCCTTGAACAGGGACATGAGTAAACTTTCGACATCTAACGAGTTTAGGATGTAACATATCAAGGAATTCGTTGGCGGCACCAACGCTAATGTTATTTGATGTCTAGATCGGATTGAGTAGAGTCTTAAATAAATTACGTACAGAAGAAGGAATTTATGAAATCATGGGATGTCGAATAAGCCTGGTTTATGGATTTTAACATTTCCGTATAAATAACAGTTTCGTTGATCCTATTTTTGCGTCATTAGTTGTGATTAATATGTTTATTTTTGTTACATATATATATATATATATATATATATGTGTGTGTGTGTGTGTGTGTGTATAAACATAATTCTCTCTCTCTATATATATGCAATTTTTATATATATTATTTATATATTATATATACGCGGTACTTATTGGAAAGCGCTCAACATCAGTGATAGAGCTAACATAAGTGGTGTGAGTTTGTGACCCTGGGTTTCACGCTCTCTGCAATCGTTAGACAAACTTTTATATATATATATATATATATATATATATATATATATATATATATATATATATATATATATATATATATATAGGTGTGCGTGTGTGTGTGTGTAAGTATGTGCAAGAGTGTGTGTAAGTGTGTGTGTTCGTGTGTAAGCACTTGTGTGTATGTTGACCTTCCCGTTAAAGACAGGCAAAGAACAAAATTAGCCAAACCAAACGAAAAACTCATAGACAGAGAAATGCGCCCTGTCTTAAGATAGTGGTTATTTGAACTCAAAGATAATTGAACTCGAATCTTAAGAAAAGTACACCCGCTTTTAGCAGTGAAGACAAAAAAAAAAAAAAAAAAAAAAAGAAAGAAAAAAAGCAATGAACAAAGCAGTCAGTGACATGTAAAACCTGCCTTTGATCTGACCGACATTTCTTTGGGGCAAGAAGAAAACTAAACTCTGTGCCATGGATGCAGTAAGATTCAAACATGCGTTATGATCCGTATTTTTCTCCTTTGACACCGCTTCTGTCTGCTTTTGCATGTCGCGGTAACCTGGTAATAATACCTGAAACATAATATTATTCAAATTACTTGCCGCCATGCTCCCCCTCCTTCTCTGTCTTCTGTTGCTATTCTTTGATCTATTCTGATCGAATCCAAACCTTTTTTGATCACTGGTTTCATCCTCATTCTATTTAGAGAGAAAGAGAGAGAGAGAGAGGGGGGGAGAGAGAGGGAGAGAGAGGGGGAGAGAGAGAGAGAGAGGAGGATCAAAGGCATAAAAAAGAAAGAAGTAGAATAATGACGCAATTAGGGAGAAATGTAAAGGTTAGAAAAACTACACAAAGAAAGAAAGGCCGAGAGAGAAAATAAGGAGTGACTAAGCGCGAAAAGGGAATGACTAAGTGCAAAAGAAATGGAGGGGCCAAAAGAATGGAAAAGAAAAACCAAGAGAAGGAAAAGCTGAGAGAGAGAGAGAGAGAGAGAGAGAGAGAGAGAGAGAGACAGAGAGAGAGAGAGAGAGAGAAATAGGAAAAATGCTGAGAAAAACCGAAAGAGAGAGAAAAAGAAAGAAAAGTCATGAGGGAGAGAGACAGACAGAAACACCAAGAGAGAGACGTAGCCAGAGAGAAAAAAAAGAAAGATAAATCAGTCAAGAGGTGGGGAGAGAGAAAGAGAGAGAGAGGTCAAGAGAGAGAGAGAGAGAGAGAGAGAGAGAGAGAGAGGAAGAAAATTTGAGAAAGCGGTCAAAAGAGACAGGTCAAGAGAGGGAGAGAGATTAAACGAAAGAGGTCAAGAGAGAGAGAGAGAGAGAAACAAATGCCGAGAAAGAGAGAGAGAGAGAGAGAGAGAGAGGGGGAGAGGTAGAGAGATCCCGATAAAGATAGAATAGTGAAAGAAGCCAAGAAAGAGAATACGGTATGTATGTAAGAAATATCAGACGTTTAAAAAAATACCATTGTATTAATATGGAGTGACACAGAGAAGAAAGAAAGAAAGAAAGAAAGAAAGAATGAAAGAAAGAAAGAAAGAAAGAAAGAAAGAAAGAAAGAAGGAAAAAAGAAAAGGAATAAAGCAAAGGAGAGAGAGAGAGAGAGAGAGAGAGAGAGAGAGAGAGAGGGAGTGTGTAAATGTATTAGACATATCCAAGGCGATGGCAAAAATTCTTCGGTTCTACCAAGGTATCATTTAAAAAAATATATCTGATTTCTAAATGTAACGAATCCTGAACTTTTCAGTAGAGCTTTGTAAATAGAGCAGAAAATGGCTTGCAATCTAAGAGAGGGACAAGTCCAAATTCAAAACCAGAAATGAAATCTACTTGCCCGAGTCAGCTACAGGTAGAAAACTTTGGTGATGAACCCTAGTACGAAACTGCATGTATCTAAGGGGGTGATGAATTGGATCGTGATTACGATTCCAATGTAATAAATTATAACCATGGAATATTAGTGTTTGGCCTTACATATATATATATATATATATATATATATTATAAATTAATTGATTTAAAATATGGTTTTTTCATACACAGTTCCAACTATGTTTCAAAATAGAAGCTAAAAACCCCGAATTTAATTTTGCAATTAAATTAAAAGCATTAGTTCCATTTCATCTTCAAGCGAATTTTGGAGTAACTTTTAAAAATTACCAGGTTTTAAAGACACAGCTAAAATCACGTTTCCATGGTTACAGAATATTCTACTTAAATTGAACAAGGGATGTCTAGATTTTCCTTATGTCAGTATCATTGTATCAGTTATTAGCTACAATTTGGTAAGGGGTAGAGATGTAATTTACAATGAAACCTGATATCAGTTGAATGGATAATATTAATGCTCTGTAAATTTACATTGAGCACTATTTTGTAAAAATAAAAATATCTATAAGAACACCGGATTTTATATCTTACTGTTCTTTTTTTTTTTATTTATATACATACATATATATATATATATATATATATATATATATATATATATATATATTAAACATTTCATCCCAAGCAGATGGGAGTGACACTAGCACGCAGGGTGTTACAGGGAATGAAAGTGGGAGAAGACTGGGTATAGGGGGATTGAGGAAAGGATAAAAGGTGAACGGAGATCATTGCAACTGAAGATGTTGAGTAGATGGTAAGTAACTGGTGATTCCCAGTTACTTACCGTCGCCTGAAGAGGCACAACATAGTGCCGAAACACGAAAGCTATTGTGTAGCGATTCCAACATGTTTTTGTTATAATCCCTTATAATAATAATAATAATAATAATAATAATAATAATGATATATATATATATATATATATATATATATATATATTAAAGAAAAACAGACCACTTTAAGGTTCCATCATAATAATTTATTTCACTAGAGCCCTTTTAAAGGACTCTGGATCATCAGATGAAAAGAAACGAAAATTCATACATTTGATGGGTAGTGTAAGTTTTTGTAATTTAACAGAGGGGGTAATGAGGGCTGGTTTGAGAGACATGGTGGAGACATGTATGTAAGAAATATCAGACGTTTAAAAGATGAGAGACATGGTCGAGTTTATAGAGGGTTTATTTAATATTTCTTTCAAACATACTTAGTATTAGGGGATATATGTGATTAATTTTAAATATCCAAACTTGTTTGTGCGTTCACAGAGAGAGAGAGAGAGAGAGAGAGGCACAATTCAAATTTAATCCTCAGTCTAATCTTCAATTTTAATTGTGTCAATTAATCGTTATCACGAGAAATGCCGAATTTTTCTAAATCCCGTTCTAATTGGCGGGAAATACCAGACCAGCCTTTGGCCGAATGTGTAGATGGATTGACAAAAAGCCAATCGGAGGCATAACAAGAGATAAACATTGACATGTTCAAACAATCAGGTAGAATGGGTCACTGTTTCAATAAGACCGTAACCTCATGATGAAAATAAGCCTTTATTTTACACAAACACAATCCGACCGTTTTAGTCGAGCAGACCTGGGACCACAGAGAACGCCGGGGGACATAAATCAACCCCAAAAACCCTATGTAAACATAATCTTTCCAGCTCATTCCACACACACGCACACACACGCACGCACACGCGCACACACACACACACACACACACACACACACACACACACACACACACACACACACATATATATATATATATATATTACTAACATTCCTTTTTCTAATTTCTTCAGTAACTCCACCTTTTCAAGCACAGATAAAGATTTATGAACAAAGATTAAGGAAAACTTTTCTCTACCAATGCGTTTCGTCCTCTGATGGACTTTAAAAAGCAAATGATTTTATTTTATAACTTGTATTTATAGACAAAATAAAAATGTTAGTTTTTCAAAATATTTTATACATAAAGATTTAAGCTTATACTTCTTACTCTTGGCAGCATCAATTGCTCTCTTGAGTGGTATTCTGAATGGGTAAGTATACAGTTATATATAAGAAATAAGCAAGACCCTATCACCAAAACACTTCTCTGCGGCGGAAAACTGCAAACAACTTATTGTGTTGCCCCGGTAGCTATTCAACGAGCTAATTGGCGGCTGATTCGAAAAAGTACCGGATTATGGGAATTACCGAACCCCGGTGTGCCGGATTAAAGAGGTCAAACTGTTTTTATTTTTCAACATAATTGCCTTGCATATTGTTACATTATCGTTTAATGTATGCCCCATTGTATTATCGTTTAATACACGCTCCTTCTAAACGATAAAGAACGCGATTCTCACCCTCTTATGCATCTTCATTCATTTCCCCCTCTCTTGATCTCTCTGTCTTTCACTTTCTGTTCTCCTGTACGGAATAAAACGAGTTGCAGGCAAGCTCTCTCTCTCTCTCTCTCTCTCTCTCTCTTTAAATTTGTGTATGTCATGGCATTTCTATGAATTAACGTAACATATATTAATGCGATTAATTCTCTCTCATTCATAGCAGAGATCGGCACAAAGCCAACAGAGAAAAACGAAGAGGGTAGAAAAATGATGTTTACATGCGAATTATTGTCCTCATTTTTGTTGTTATTATATCAACGTTTCGATCATTGTGCGCCACGATCTTCATCAGGTGCAATTCGATCTGGATAACCACAGTATTTCCAACTGGACATTTTATTTAATCTATGGGGCTATCTTGTTCTCGTTCCGCTGACCATACCCAGGGAAATCTTGCCGTGTTTTTATTTAGTACTGCTCAGCTATTACTCGCTGTTATAATAACAACAAAGATGAGGACAATAGCGCGGATGTAAATATTGAAAAGTTTGCATACCAGAAATTCAGAGAGAACGTGTTTTATGTGGGTCTTTCAATGGTGGGGTGGCTTGCTTGCCCTGAGGCGATATTCGAAATATTTGAGTTTGTTAAATACTCGTTATCCCTTTCGTAATCATCGTTATAGTAGAGACTTTGTAATCGCAGATACAACTATAGTATCGCCGTTGAACAATACTGGTGTCAGACGCCTTCGAATGAAACCCTCACTAATAGTACTTGCTCGATGATACTCGCTCGAATAGTAACCACCGTATAGTGATCTGAATAGAGAAATAGTATAGTGACTAGAGTAGATAATAGCGGACCGTATAGTAATAGAGGATAGAGTAGAAATGTCGAGCCGTATAGTAGAGAGACCAAAAATAGCGATCAATTAGACGCCAAGCTACTTTCTACTTATGCGTTTCCTGTATGGTCACGTGTTCTTAATTCAATAAAATGATCGCATGGCGATCTATGTTTAAACTCAAGTGTCGGCAGCGACATTGTATTCCTATATAACAAAGTGTACACACTTGACCGAAGAGAAATAAGAGAACACATAAATAAAAGAAAGCATTTGAGGTCAAGAGACAGCAAACCGGACATTGAAGATTTCCGGTTGCGGGACTATATTAATAATCACAGTTGGGAGCGAGGAACTCAGTTCAGGTCTACTCTTGGCGGGAAACAGACTGTCTGTCAAATAGTTCCGACGCAACCCGTTCATATTGGGACCACACGCTGAGGTGTTAAGATGGGCAGAGAACAGGTCAGTGGGAAGTGCTGAGCAGTTAGATTGACATGTTAGAAGTTGTCTAGAGTGTCATCTACCTACCTACCCAGCAAGACGGGGCAAGCAAAGCCCTGAATAAAAACACTTATTTCATAATATTGGGAAAAAGTGTTCGAGATCTCATTTCCCGACACGGCGTTAGTTTTTACAGATTGCTTCCTTGTGAGCGTGCAGTGGGCCTTTCCCTGTTTTTGAATGCACACTTATATGATCAACAGCATAGATGCAACGTGGGGAGGTTGTTAGCCGTTCGGTGTAAGACTGGGTTATGGTCACGTTGTATGTTTACAACGTATCGCAGGATGGTATCCGCAATGGTTTTCGAGTACTGAACATATATCTTTTTTGTGTACGTATTGATTTGCATATGATATTGATTTGGATATACTATCATTAACTGCAATCCAGCACGGCCTGAATGTTTAATCTTGAGTAAATGTGCTGCTGTCATGATATCACATGTGGCTTGAACTGGTGTTCGGCATACTACGGACGACCGTCCGTAGTAGATCGTATCTTTAGTTCAATACTCCGAAGTTGCACTTTTTCGATTTCTCACCGTCAAAAACCACCTCTTTCACAAGAAAGACTTTTTCGTAATACAAGATAACAACACAACGGGGTCTGTATTAGCCAATTTGTACTGTCTCTAGAAGGGAAATGTTGCCGACTTCTTGTCAGTGACCTAGAGGGTCTAGTGAGAGAGAAACTCTCCTACCTAGCCTCTTTTGTCCAGACCATATGCTCGCTATCAATACAAAAATCTCACTATGGAATTTTAAGAGAAACAATCTTTTTTATCGGGAAATTTCACCTTCTAGATAATTGCCGATTCGTCAATTCACAGACCAATGAAAAGTCAACTATTTATTTTTGTGAGACTGTCAACTGGCCCTAACACGTATATTGCATTTCATACAATGCATTTCCAGCAATCTGCGTGCCTGTATTTTTTTTTTTTTAACCCTAAACGTTTTTACACACACAATGTTATGTACATTGGAATATATTTTCAGAGTTGAAAATTTGTTTTCCGTCATTGTCCAAAATTATCTCGGAACATCGAGATTTTACATAACAATGACAGT